CGGTCCTTTGCTCTGCCGTCCATTCTCTTGTTGACATTCGTCCACTTCCTTCTGGTACAAATCCACCCCTTCGTTTCATGCGATACACAAGATGATACACTGCTTTGACTTTATCTGTATACAATAGTCTGTCTGCCGTATGGGTATCAACACGCTCATCTTGTACTAGATATTGTCTGCTTGACCTTAAATTCACACATAAAAGTACATCATCGTGCGATGAATTCCAAATGCTAGCACATGCATTGTAGTAATCGTCAAAGAAAAACATGATAACAGATCAGAATACAGGTTGCTCAGCATACGCCTCCGGTTGTTGGTATCCGGCGTCAGCAGTCGCGAACTCCTCAGACACGGGGGCAACGGCAGCCACGGGAACAGCGGGCTCGCGCTGCTCCGATGAAGGCTCGGAGACGATTTTGTCGACGGGGGGTTCGAGGATTTGGACGGAATCGGGGAGGGGGTTGCGGGGACCGAGCTGGCCCTCGGGATCGTATGCCTTCATGCTAAAATATGGGTCAATCAACGCATCCATTGGCATCGCGAAATAACGCACATCTTGACTTTGATTCCGAGGACACCCTGGCGAAGCAGGACGTGGCGGACGGCGTAGTCAACGAAGTCACGGGCGGGTTGACCGGAGTGGATCATGAATCCATCGGTGAACTTCATCGACTTGGCACGGGCAGCACGAATCTTTCCGGAGACGACAACTTCGCAACCCTTGGCGCCGGACTCCATGACGAAGCGGAGGACACCGTAGCAAGCGCTTTAATTCGAGGTCAGCACACACGCGCTGGAGCGCACATTCGCAGCACGTACCGACGGACGGCAAGGCCGCCGAGGAGCTTGTACCTCAAGCTCTCGCACTGGGCGATCGCGGAGAGACCACGGTACTGAACCTTCTCGGCGTAGAGCTCAAGCGAGTTCTCGGGGAACTTGAAACGCTTCTGGACGAGCGCGGTGAGCTCGCGGATGCGGCGGCCCTTCTCGCCGAGGACCTCCTGGGTGTGGGTGGCACGGATGATGATCTGATTTTCGCGCCTCAAAAACGGACCCAAAACACGCCGAAAAATCGACCGACCTCAGTGCGCGCGTGGGTCACACGGACGTCGCAGCCCGAGTAGCCCTCCTCCGCCAGCTCGCGGGTGAAGAATTCGTTGAGTTCGGCGCGGAAGACACCGTCGGCCACGAACTTTCTCTTTTTGCTGATTTGAGCCGACATTTTTACAGATTACCTGTACAGGGATATAACGTGAGCGACGGGGCGGGCGACGACGGGGCAATAATTCGTACCTTGCTGGGGAGTGTGTCGAGGACGGGGCCGATAGCGCGGGAGCCAATGAGATCGGGTGGCTTGATAGCTACACAGTTAACTTCGCTCTTTGCCGGGCACGTGATGAGAGGTTCGTATATAAATCGGCGCCGGTTTCTTCCTGCTTGCTCGTCGTTCTGCGCCGTGGCGCGTGTCCGCAAGCTTTATCTCATGACGCCGGTATCGTGGAAGCAAGACATTCATTCAAGGTTCGTATCCTGTTCTTTATTTCGTGCTCTGTTCTATCTGTTTTCTGTGACGAGTGTTGTAATATATCTCAACCATATGGCACCTCTTAGTCGATTTATTCCGTCGTATTCGTACGGCGGTTTAATGACATCAATGACTTTCTGAGGATTCATTTGTTCGCGAAATAATTTTGTGTTCTTCAGCTAACTTAACTTTTTTCAGGTATTGGACTTGTTGCCAGATCCCACAACCATATGTACTGCTGTTCTGTTCCTTGTCAATAAACACGCAATATATCTCCTTTCTTGTCTACTGCCATGTCATGGAATATCACTGTCTTCGATGTCCGACTTCTGTGTTTATGACGCTCGCTATGTATGGGTTTTCTCGCCGCTCCTGTAGCCCGAGTTTAGCGTGCGCTGTGCTCGCAACGTCATTCGACCTTCCAATCAAGCTGACGTGCACGCCCGCCTTTCACTAATTGGATTCAGGCAATATATTCCATGCTCATAAATACACGTCCTACACGATAGTTCAGTGGGTGACCTCGTTCACGAAGATTCCCGCCGCGCCCATGCCGCTTCCTATGCACATGCTCGTGCACAAGATGCGCCCATTTTGCCTCCTCAACTCGGCCAACCCAGTCACCAGTTGGCGGACGCCAGCTAATATCCAGTAATACGTTAGCGCCTAATTTTCAAGGGTGGATTACACACGAGACGCACTCATAGCCAGGGGGTGGGATATCGCTATCGCGCCTCCACTGCGCCTAACGTCAGCGTCGGTGCGCGTGACGATAAATATCCGCGCTTACTTGGGATTTATCTTCTCGATGGGCACGCCCAGCTGCTCGACACAGTACGCGAACTGCGACGCGAAAGCCTCGTTGATCTACCAAGGACACGCGTCAGCACTTCCCTTGCACAAAGCCCCGCGGACGCACCTCATACACATCGACGTCCTCCTTGCTCAGCCCCACCTGCTCAAGCGCCTTCGGGATCGCGTATATCGGCGAGATGCCCATGTACTTCGGGTCCACGCCGACGACCGAGGACGTGACGTACTTCCCAAGCACGGGCATGCCCTCCGCCTCCGCGCGCGCGCGCGTCGTCATGATGCACAGCCCCGCGCCATCGCCGACGCCGCTCGCGTTGCCCGCGGTCGTCGACGCCTCGCCCCACTGCGGGAACGCGGGCTTGAGCGCCGCGAGGCCCTCGCGCGTCACGCCGAGCCGCACGGTGTCGTCGACGGAGACGACCTTCCCGCGCAGCTCGACGGGGATGATCTCGTCCGCGAAGATCCCGTTGGCGACGGACTGCAGACGCGCGCAGTGTTAATTGGTCATGGATAGATGGAGGGAGTGGACGCGACGTGCCTTGTTCGCCCGACTGTGCGAGATGAACGCGTAGTCGTCCTGGGTCTCGCGCGATACTTTGTACGTCTGCGCGACCATCTCCGACGTCCAGCCCATGGGCTGAGAAAGGGCAGTCAGCGCGCGCGCGGCAGGCAGAGACGATATGTATATTTGCCTGCATGCAGTCGTACGCCTGCGGGTGCTCAGAGACAGCAGCTACGACCTCGGGCGTCGGGCGGGGGCTGCAGCACACGGGAAGCACAAATATAGGCGTGAGCGCACTAAAAATACAAGTCGTGGAGGGAAAGCTGACTTGAGGCTCATACTCTCTGCGCCGGCGGCGATCCCGAGCTCCGTCTCGCCGGCCTGGATAGCGTGCGCGATGCCGCGGATGGCCATGAGGCCCGACGAGCACAGGCGGTTCACAGTGGAGATGGGTACTGTCGCAGGGATGCCTGCAGCGAGAGCGGCGGCGCGCGAGAGGTATAGCGGCGACGGTGGGTGGCAAGTCGCTGGATGCGGCGCGGGCAGGATCAGCATGCGAGCGCACATTCAGTGTACACACTCACCGACGCAGATGTCGTCTATCTTCGCCGGGTCGAGCTTGGTCTCCGCGAGTGTGGCCTGTTGGCTGTGAGTGGCGGTAGCATCATGGGCAACGGGGGTACGACCTTGAAGAGAGCGTGCAGCATCTCGTCGACGGGGGTGTCCTTGAGCTGGCCCTTCCTCGCGCGCCCCACGGCAGTGCGCTTCGCGAATGTGATGACCACATCGTCGGGGTGCTTCTCAAGAATGGCAGCCAGGCCCCGCGGGCGTGTGGCTGAGCTCGCCGCACGGGAGAGAGGGGGGTAGAAGGTGCGCTTGAGGACGCGCGAGGAGAGCATTGGTGGTCGGGAGAAAGAACGATGCGGAATGCCGCCGCGCTTGTAAGCACGCTGGATATACTTATTCCCATGAGAGGAAACCGCGGCTCAGATCCGTGCGAATTAGATAAATTCCTCGTAATAAAGTACATATATTGGCCGCGTACGGACGCCTTGCACGATGCCCGCGGGAAAGATATGACATATGCGGGGCGGGCTCGGAAGGGGCAGTACGGAAGTGCGGTTCGGCACGCCGGATACTTTTGCGCTGGAACATGGGGTCTGTGCGCAGAGTAAGCGACTAGTCGAAGACGACGGGACAGTACTGACCCTACAGCTATGAAAAGTCGGGGATGTCGCTCTGCCTGTTCTTCGCCTTCCACTGGCGCGTGACCTGGCTGTAGCAGTTGGGGCAGATGTGGTGCGCGAGCTTGACGGAGCCGCAGCCCGCGCAGTTCGTGATGTCTGGCTAGAGGTCAGCAGGCGCATTTCCAGAGGGCAGTAGGGCGTACTCTGCTTGTCCTTGAGGCCCTTGTTCGCGCTGCGCATGGCCTTGCGCGAGTGGGACGTCTTGGACTTTGGGACGGCGAGGAGGAAGGGCGGGAAGAGATCGAGGAGGGGCTGGAGGGACGGCATGGACAGCGAGAGGCCGGAGAGGAAGGCCGGGGCAGACCATTGGGGCAGCAGCGAGGGCAGCGAGCGTCCGAGCGCGAGGGCGGCCATGGCGGGAGAGCGAGAAATTAAAATTCACACTCCGCCACGCGTATCCAGCGCCGTGACCGCCGCCCGCACGCACTTCAACTCCGCCCCCATGTTCCGCCTCACCCGCCCCCTGCTCAGCGCCGCGAAGAGGACGACGGGCATCCACGGCCTCAGCGTCCACCCGAACCCCCTCCCCGAGCTCGCGCAGACCTACGAGGCGACGCTCGTCGCGCTCACCAGCATCCCGCAAACATCCGTCTACCGCCAGGGCGTGGAGGCACTCGTGCGCAACAAACTCAACTCGCTCAAGCTCGCCAACGGCGACGTCGGCGCCGCAGAGACACTGCTCAAGGAGGGCCACATCGAGGAGTCACTGGACATTGCGTCAGACGAACTCAAGCTAGCCGCCAACATGGTGGAATGGAAAGCGTGAGCCGCCTTGTTCTGTACTCGTGCCTGCGTCTCACACGCGTCTAGGTGGGAGCCATTGGTGGAAAAGGCGGAGCCAGGGCAGTGGGAGTACCCGGGACAGACGACGACGGCTTGAGTGTATATAGACATTGAGAGCAAAAAGATTCGCTGGAAGCAGGATTTGAACCTACGCGGTGAAACACCAAGTGATAGTGAGAAATTCAAATCACTCGCCTTAACGACTCGGCCATTCCAGCTCGCATGAGCGGTCACGCGGACGGGCACCATAGTGCGCCGGCGGGCAGGGCACCTGTCGTCCGCCACTGTCTCTGCGCTCCCCGCTGCTCGCCGCCTCCATGGACTCGCTAATCCCGTTCACAACCTCCGGCTCGCTCGTCGATTGCGTGGACAGTACGTCTGCCCAATCTCATCGCCCGTTCCGTCCTGAGCAGCCCTTGCACCCGCTGCGCCTGCGCCCCGCCCAGGAAAGATGCTCGTGATCCTCCGCGACGGCCGCAAGCTCCACGGCGTCCTGCGCTCGTACGACCAGTTCGGTGCGCGCCCTGCCCCAGCACAGCCTGCACCTGCTGACATATCGCAGCGAACCTCGTCCTCGAGGACACCGTCGAGCGGATATACCACGGCAGCGCCTTCGCGGAGAGCTGGCACGGGCTCTACCTCATCCGCGGCGAGAACGTCGTGCTGCTCGGCGAGATCGTGCGTCTGCCCGCGCCCCACCTGCCCGTGTCCTCACCCGCCCCTGTAGGACCTCGACCGCGAGGACGACGTCCCGCTGAAGCAGGTCGCCTACGACAAGCTCGTCGACTTCCACCGCGCCGAGGCCGAGGCGAAAAAGGAGCGCGAGGAGATCAAGTCGCAGATCCTGTACGAGCAGAAGGGCTTCTGCAAGGAGGGCGGCGAGGGCGATGGCTACTGATGCACCACCGGCACGCCCGTAGGATTTTTTTTCAGCGCCGCCACTGCTCGGAGCCCCCGATTGTAAAATATTATCTATACACACAAGTTATCACTTGCAAAACGGCCTATGTGAGCTACACGACGGGCGCGGCCTGGGGCGCCAGGGTGTGCGAATGCGGGACACCAAAAAATGCGACATTGCAAGAAAACGAAAAACGACAAAACGTATTGAATATGGCGGGTGTAGGATAGGGGTAATGGCAAAGTAGACTTAATGGCGGTCTATGAAAAATGGTACATATGTTAAACGGAAGGTATCCGACATCGTCACTGTCATCAAAGGATCATGCGTGGTAATAAAGAAATGAGAAATCAAGAGGCAGGCGCCTTGCGCTTCTTGCCTTTTTTCTGGCCGTCGACGGCAGACGCCGCCGCCTTGGTCTTGCTGTGCCCGTTGAGGGCCTTGGTCGAGTTCTTGAGGGGCGCAGCGTCAGCTGCCCCGTTCGCACCGTTCGCGGGGGTGCTCGTCGTTTGCGGGTCGAGAATGTCCTCGATGCGCTTGCGCAGCTCGCGCTCGCGCGTCGTGAGCTTCGCCAGCACCTCCTCCGCCTTCTCCTTCTCCTTGCACACGTCCTTGAGCCGCACCGCCAGCCACCTGAAAACGAGCCATCAGCAACACATTCGCAGAGCGCAAGCGGGCCGCCGTACCCCTGATGCCGATCGCACACCTGCTTCCCGGGGCACCACCACTGCTCCTCGCTGCCGTCGACCTCCATCTCCTCGCCGGCCTCCTCGCGCGCCATCGCCTCCTCGTAGCTCTCGAGCACGCTCGCGCCCGCCTCGACCCACTCCTGGTCGTCCATGCACAGCCGCTGGTCCCACCCGCACTGCCCGACCGCCTCCGCGCGCGCGCCCGCGAGCTGCAGCACGCGCTCGCGCCACACAACCGCCTCCATCCCGCGCTTCACGTCCTCGCGCTGCCGGATCACGCCGTCGAGCACGCCGCGCAGCCGCTCGGTCTCGCGCTCCGCCTTTGTCTTCGTCGGCGGCACGACGTGCGTCTTCAGATGCGCCGCGGCTGCGCGCGCGGGCTTCGCACCGGCGCCGTCGACCTCCATCTTGACGCACCCGGCCCCGTTCGGCGCGGGCTTAGGCTTGTCCGCGTCTGTATCCGCGGCCTTGTCATTCTCGTCCTCGCTCTCCACGCGCTCGACGGCGCACACGACGCCCTCGCGCTTCTCCGCGCCCTTGACGCTCTCCCAGAGCTTCTCGGGGCGTCCGCCCTTCTTCGCCCAGCTGTCGACGCGGCTCTGCATGTACTTGACGCCGCACTCGTCCGAGCAGTACTTCGAGAACGCGCCGCGCGCCGCCTTGTGGCACGCGCGCGGCGAGTCCGGGTCCGGCGCGCGCAGCCCGTACAGGCAGCGCGTCTTGTACGTCGTGCGCAGCTGCGCGTGTGGGTTCTCTGCAGGCGGAAGGTCAGCGACAGCAGCGGGCAGGCGCGGGGCAGGCGCACTTTCGATGCAGACAGGGCAGATGAACTGGTCGACGAGGTCGACCTCGAGGTCGGGCATCGCGACGCACTGCGTGTGGTACCACTCGTCGCACCTGCCATCACGATCAGAAAAGGGGGTCAGCACGGCGGGGCGGGCGGGCGCACCTGTCGCACGCGATCATGAAGCGGTCCTCGTCGTAGCGCGTCTTGCACACGCAGTACAGCTTGTCGTCGTCGCCCGCGCCCGCATCCGACTCGTCGTCCTCCTGCTTGTCCACCCTGACGGCGTCGCTCTCCGGTCCGGCGGATGCACCTCGTCCGGGCATGACGGACGTGGATCGCGAACGCGACGTCGACGGCGCGGTCTTCCGTGCGGGACCCGTGCCGGGGCCCTTCGGCCCTCGAGCCGGTGCAGGCGGCGTCGCCGACGCCGACTCGACCGCGCTCGATGCCTTCTTGCTCTTCGCGGGCGGGCGCGCCTTCTTCGCCGCAGGGGGCGCAGCAGGCGTGGGTGGAACGGCAGCATTCTTGGTCTTCGCAGCAGCAGTCTGTGGGCGTCGTCAGCATCACCGCGGTCAGGGACGGCGACAGGGCACACCTTGGTCTCCTTCTTCTTCTTGGCGGCAGTGGGCGCAGCGCCCGTTGACGGGACGGCGCTGCCTGCGCGCTCCGCACCCTTCTTGCCCGGGCCGGCCGTCGTTGCGGGTGGTGGCATGGACCCGCGCTCGGAGGTCGGCCGGGTGGATGGGTGGCGCGCCGCCGCCGCGGTGGCAGGTGACACCGCGGCAGCCGCGACACCTGCCACCGGAGGCGAGACATGGGGAGGATCGCTAGCGGAGTTATTCTGATTGTGATGTGGCGCCGGTTTTGGCGCGGCGTGAGAGTGCGTGTGCGCGTGTGCATGCGAAGACGGGGTGGGAGCCGATCCGTGAGAGGAGGAAGACGTCGGGGCCGCGGAGGACGGGGGATTGCGGCGCGCGGTGCTCGCGGATGCGGGGGCGGGTTTGGGGGTGTCGTCGAGCAGGCGGAGCAGCTCGTCCTCGACGTCGACGTCCATCTTCTTCGGCTCGTGCTTTACGGCGTTATCGTCGGCCTCGAGGGTGTCGACAAGCTCTGTGACGGCGAGGTCGACCTCCATATCGATGTCGGGATCTTGTTTCTTGATGATAGTGGCGGAGGCAGGGGGTGGGTCTGAGACAAGTTCCTCGAGCTCCTCCTCGAGTGACACAGCCGCAGCCACAGGGGTCAAAGCGCGCGGGGGGGTCTTGGCAGCGGGTGGCACGGCGACGGGGACGACGGGGCTGATGGAGGGGGACGGGGTGTGTGGGGGTTCGTGGCGCGCGGAGGTCGTGGGAGAGGGTTCCTCGTCGAGCTGCTGTAAAAACCATTCATCAGCATCGTCTTGCTGGGCCTTGGGCACAATGACGGATTTAGGGGGCGGAGCTTCCTTGACGACCAATTTTTTGGAGCGATGGTCGTCGACGACGGGCGAGCGGACTGAGTCATGAGGCTTTGGGGGTTTTGGCTCCTGTTTGATTTTGGGCTCGGGGAGGAGATGGTCGTCGGACTTGCGGGCGGCCTTTGCCCTGCCTATCTGGCTGCCGGGGGGAGAGCGCCTGCCGAGGGGACTGAGGACGCGATGTGCGGGGTCGCGGTCGGCGGAGATGGAGCGCTCGCTGTCGACGGCGAGGAGGTCGGCGACGGCGACCTTTCTGGTGTGGTCGTGGCCGGAGCCGGGGCGGCGAGGCGGGGGGTGGGCATGGGAGGGGCCAGCGACGGGGGCGTCTGTGCGGCCGTAGCCGAGCTCGCCGACGAGCATCTTGTCGCGCTCGCGGGCGATGCGCTCCTTATCGTCCGGGATGGGCCGAGGGGGGGATTCTGAGTAGCGGCGCTTCTTGATGGGGCGCGGATCGTCGGGGGATGGCGGGGGAACGGCGGCGGCGGGGGGGTCGAGGGGGACGATGACGGGGTGGGGCGGCTGGCTGTGCGAGATCAGGTGCGCGATGGACGGCGGGTGCGGCGCGGTGACGATGGGGTAGCGCGGGAGCGCCAGCTGGTGACGTAGCCGCAGCTCGTGCTCCCGGCGCTGCTGGTGCTCGGCGAGCTGGCGCTCGAGCTCACGGCGCTCAAGCTCACGACGCTCGAGCTCCCGCCGTTCGAGCTCCCGCCGCTCGAGCTCCCGCCGCTCGTACTCGCGGCGCTCGGCGTCCCTGCGCTGGAAGTCGCGCTCGCGGCGCTCAAACTCGCGCTGCTCGTCGAGCTTGCGCTGCTCATCGAGCTTGCGGCGCTCGTAGTCGTGCTCGTACTCGTAGCGGCGCAGGTCGTACATGTGGGGCAGCTGCGGGGGCGGGTCGACGAGGCGGCGGCGCTCCTCGGTGGCGGCGTGGACGAGGGCGTCGAGGGGGGAAAAGGGCGGGTTGTCGTCGCAGAGCAGCGACGAGATATCGAGACGACGGGAGGCCATTGATTGTGGTAGAGTACAAGGAGCAGGCCGACATGACATGATGGACTACCGATGACTAAGCGTATGTACAACGAGACATTGCGGCAATGGCCATGCGGGGGCCACGAAGGGTCCCCAGCGACGTCGCCGCACCCAAGTCCTGTCATTTCCTCTCCAGTGCGCACTACGGTCTGCCGGTCCTCGGCCTGCCACATCCAGAGGCGGGCGGGCCATCGGGGAGATGCTTTTCTGCGACTGCACGTCGTCAGCAACGGCGAGCATCCAAGATCGCTGCACTCACCTGTGCTTATTTTGCGTTGCGGACGAGCACGGAATTTGCCCGCTTATATACGTTTTTGCAACTGTACAGTTCCAAAAGACCCCGTGACACCCCCACTTCG